CCATGAATTTCAATTATGGCAGCAATTAATTAATCAAACTGGTCCAATTCATACATGATAGGATAGTTGCTAACCATATACAACTTTTTGAGTTATGAGAAACTTTAACATTAAGCATGAGTTGACAAACTCAAGCTTTAAGACAGTTTGACAGCCTGGTTTCAAATTGAACATTACAATGTTTTAACACATTCAATCATACTTCAAGTACAAGTAATGATCTTCTAAAAAACATAAACAAGTTTAAAACAACAATAAGCACAGCCTAACATAGCAATTCCAAACCTTAAAGATCAGATGCATCACATGACATATGATAATTACAAGCTTATGATGACAAGCACAAATATATGCAAATCATGTCCAACAATTTTAAATGATACATATATGAGAAAGATCAAGGGTTAGAGGTCACCTACCTCTTGTAGACCTCCAATAGCAAGCTAGCAGCTTTAAGCAAGATGTTCCTCCCCTCCTTTGAGCAATTTTGTAAAGTTGCTTCTTCTTGAAGTAACAAGTGGTTTTCAAGGACAACTTGAGCAAAAGTACTTCCACCTGCTGTTTGAGATCATGAACAGCTAGTATGTCATAAATATAAGGTGTCCCAAGTGTCGTGATGATGAGAAATGGCTTAAGTAGTGATTTGGCATGAAATATGCATAAAAGTCAAAGTAAAGTGGTATGAAAGTTAACTTTTTGACTCAAGGTTCTTTTGGTGAAACTAAGGGTGATAATAGCTTCAAATGGCCATTTTAAGTGTGTGTGTGTGTGTGTGTGTGTGTGTGTGTGTGTGTGTGTGTGTGTGTGTGTGTGGTCTTTGAGGTTGTTTTATGTTTGGAAATGTGACTGGTGTGAAAAATGCAAAATGGCAAATTTTGTGATTTTTGAGAATTTTTTCACTTACAAGCAAAGAGGGAAAGAGTGAGAGTTATGTGTTCCTTGTGTTTTGGATAGCTCTGGTGTGTCTAAAAGAGTGGAGTGAAGTCTCTATTTATACGCCATGAGAGGTGTTGGGATAAATTTTGGAATTTTGGTTTTGGAGGGAGATTTTGGGAGAAAATTTGTCCAAGATTTGTTGCAGCTGCAAATCCAAGTTCTTGGCTCAAGATGATGCATAAATCAAGTGGTATGAAGGCTATGGAAGTGACTTAAGTGAGGCTAGGGAGTAGGAGAGCTGCAGCTGCAAATTTCTTCATGAAAAAGTTTCTCTTTCCTTTTGATTTTTTTGATTAAAATAGTGCAACTTGTCTTGCCAATCTTGTCAAGCCTTTCAAGCCTTCACCTCCTCTTCATTTTAACTCATGATTTCCTATAATTATTAGATCAAATTTTTATGAAATGGTTGAGAATGATTCAAGTGGCTGAAAAGTGAATTTGTGAAAAAGTTGAAATGGTGCATTCAAGTGTGGGGACCCCATCTTGCTGAATTCGCAACTCTCAGCTCATAAGGGCTATGGAGGATTTATAGTACTTTTTGTAAATACCTCATGGATCTCTACAACTTTCATGTTTTATGAATTTCCAAACTCTAAGTGGAACTAGGTCAAAAATCCCTTCAAAGTTGGTTGAAAATATGACTTAAAAGTGCTAAAAACTTGGAATTTCACTAAGTGTTTTCCCCTCTTATAATGATTTTGATCATAACTCCCAATCTACTCATTTTTTGCAAATGGATCATTGTGACACTTTTGTAGCACTTGTCAAGACCTTTCCAAAAAGCTTTGAACCACCTCAATTAGATGTGTGGTTAAAAAGTTGTGGTCTTGCCCCTTTCAAAACCTTAATTTCCCGACTTTTCGATTACTCCTCAATCCTTGATCCAATGGTCACTAAACTTCATGACTAGATGTAATATAACATTAGGAACATTTTTGCTTTCAACTTTGGGGTCAAAATCCTTTTGGTCAAGGAGTTGACTTTTCGGCCAAACGATCGATCGATAACTACCAGATCGACTGTTGACGTTTTGGATCTTCCGAGGTCTTGAAACTTCTTGGGTGGAATTCACTAATCCATATGAGCTTCATGGAACATTATCCCATCATTAGAACACCTTTTAAATCAAAATTCAAACCACAGTTGACTTTTCCTGATTAGAAACCCTAATCGGGGATCCTGGACTTCACTGTTCTTGATCTTTGGGTGACAACCTCAAATTGGATTCATACTTGACCCAATATGGTATTATTTATGGCGTAGATACTTGTTTCATTGAGAATCAATTCAAGGCATTGACTGATTAAACCATCGAAACCTCGATTCTTGACTGTATGAAACCATAATTCACCTGTATCTTAACAAAGACAAACTTGAAATAGGTTATGGATAGATAAACAAATGATGATGATCCTAGAATGATGATGAAGATCTAAGGGGTCAAAATTTAGGGTGAAATAGAAGTGTGTTACATCTATTGTTTGTTGTTGTTGAATTGTCACTAGGATCGTGACTGATTAGGAAGTGAGAGGGGGATCTCATATCTAGAGGGTGTCTAAGTAGCAGTTGCACAATGTAGGGATTAGGTGAGAAGTTGTAAATGGGAGAGTTTAGCTTTGAACTAATATTATCATAGTGAATTTCCTTTCTGACTTGGTAGCCACCAGATGTAGGTGAGTTGCACCGAATTGGGTTAACAATTCTGGTGTTGATTTTATTTTTCTGTCAATTAAGTTTCTGCATATTTTACTTGTCTGATCAAGTTGTTGTTGATTCTGGTGTTGTGACATCTGTCTCGATATCTGGTATCTGCGTGCCATAATTTCAACTTTGTCAAGTTATTTTTAATCTCTTTCTTACATAAATTCTAACTCATCTTAAACGTATTAAAATCATTTCAAGAGACCTAAAAAATACACAACTCATTCAAATTATTTTGTGCCCTTTGTGCACTTTTCTTTTTTAAAACCTTTTCTCAAGGATTAGACTTGAGTCATTTTCATAGTTGAGATGTGATTCTCCTATCCCCATAGTAATGTTTGATGTTGATTCTTTTCCACTTGAGAGAGTTAGTGTCATACTTGTTCATTTCTATCCAAGTTGGAGTCCTTCTCAATAGTTATGCAAAGGTCTATTTTCACATACTTGTGGGTGATTAGTTGAGTTTTCTCCTTAAAATGATAAATTGTCTTTCCATTTAAAGTCAATCAAAATAAACTCTTTTTGTTATTTTACCATGAACTACGAGGTTTTAATCTTCCATTTCACTTTGTGGGTATGTAGGCACGAGGCTCAGGAAGTCTTGTCAAACACCAAAAACCCTAAAAAATATTTCCTTTCTCATCTACCCAATCTTTTGAAAACAACCCTTTTTAAGGCAAACACAAATTTTCAAGAGGTTCTTATAGAGTATTATAGATGTTTTGGGTGCTAACACCTTTCCATTACACAACCAACCCCCTTACCATTTGTTTCTCTGTTTTATTAGTTTTGTTTTAAAACTTCTGTGGGTTTTATTCGCTCTTTTCCTATTTCTTTTGGAAAAATAAAGTGTGGTGGCGACTCTTGCTTTGTGAGTTAAGTTAATCAATAACTTAATCTCAATTTCCCTGCTACACATGTCAATATGAGCTACAACTTTACCCTTCTTCCACCACATCGTTGTTAGCTTACATAAATGTAAATTGGGGTGGCTGCCCAGATACCAGACGATCAACATCTGCTTACTCTGTCTTTTTTGGTGACAACTTTCTCTCACGGTCTTCCAAACGCCAACACACATTATCTCGCCCTATGATGATGAAGTCGAATACCAAGGTGTTACTAGTGTAACGAGTCTTGTTGGGTATGTAGACGTTTTTTAGAGTCCTATCCCCATGGCTACCTAGTCTATTGTAATAATATTAGTTTCGTATATCTCTTAGGGAATCCCGTCCAATACGCGGGCATGAAGCATATCAAAATGAACATTCATTTTGTTCGCGAAAAACTAGCTCGAGGACATGTCCGCGTTTTACATTTAGCATTGCACAATCAAGTTGCAGACATCTTAACCAAATATCATCTCGTAATTTTATTTCAAGATTTTTGAGACAATCTCAATGCCTGACAATTTTTTTTTCAATTACTAAATGAAAATATAAACATTATAATATAAGATTTAATAAATCAATGTATTTTACACAATTCAAATTTCATCTAAATTTTAGCGATCAAATATAAAAATAAAATTAAATGCTATCAATTGATTGGTCAAATATATAATATTCAATTTTTTTATAATGGGTATAAAAATTATATTCATTCAATTATATTAGGTAAAAGTTATACTCAGGAGCAACTATCACGAGTTTAGGGTTAGTCCCTTCAGACACATATGATAAACTTGAACGATACAGAAAAGATTAACATGATCCCTGCGTGAGAATACACGAAACAAATCGACTAAAACATGTTGTCATAAGAAAACATGGGTTAAGATGGGTAACGTGTGAGGAATGAATATAAACTCGCGATACTCGTTCATTCTACTCATAATTTTTGCTTAATATAAATGACATGAGTTTTTGAATGATGTGTTTTTCAATATTCTCTTACGTACTTATTACGCTATATGAGAAAAATTTATAGAGAGAAACAAACATAACACATTATTTTACATACAATCAATAATAATTTTTTTATTAATTAAAAAATAAAAATACTTTTTTCTCTGTTCTTGATTATCACAATCACCTAATAATTCAAATTATAAATAAATAAATTTAACATTTTTTTGCCTTTTTTATGGATTGTTTTTAAGAATATGAATATAGTTTTGTTTCTATTCAAATATATGTCTCTAAAGGATAAGTGTCAAATCAGAAACTATGGAAACCCCTGCAATTTATGACATGCTAGTTCCAGTAGATGATGCCACTGCCAGCAAGCAAACACATTCTTTTCGCTGTATTTACATTTCCCATGCATACTCAACGGTTATGTCTCTCAATCCCACTATATATATATACCAATCACTACATTCTCATTCTTCAACACCCATTCAGACACCTAAGAGTACCAAAATGTCTTCTTCTGCTTTGTTTCTCGGTCTTATGTTTTTGTTGACACCATTGGTTCTCCTTTCATCCTCATCTCAAGCACTAGAGTTTCATGTTGGTGGTAAAGATGGTTGGGTTCTCAAACCCTCTGATTACTATAATCACTGGGCTCAGAGAAACAGGTTTCAAGTCAATGACACTCTCAGTAAGTCCAGTTCACTATTTCTCAACCTTACATAATCATAATGTTTTATATTAATGTTTTCATTTCAACTATATTGTAGGTTTCAAGTACAATAAAAAGAGGGATTCAGTTCTTGTGGTGAAGAAAGAGGACTATGATTCCTGCAACATCAACAATCCGAAACAAAAGATGGACGACGGAGATTCGAGTTTTAAGCTCGGTGATTCGGGTCTCTACTTTTTCATCACTGGCAATGTTGACCACTGTAAGCAAGGTCAAAAGCTTGTTGTTTTAGTCATGGCAGTTAAACACCATAACCCGCCTCATACCGTGGTTGTACCGCCGTCTCAGGCTCCGGAAAGTGGTTTGTCGGGTTTGGATACTCCGGCGCCGTCTCCGTCGAAAGCAAGTTCTGTTGGTGTGAGTGTGGGTTTTGGGGTTGTGGTTTGGGTTGGTTTGATGTTTAGTGGGTTTGTTTATTATTAGTGTGTTTAGTTATGAGAGTTGCAGGAACTGGATGATATGATGAGAAATAAAATGTTCAGTGTTTTTTATGGTGTTTGCGATTTGATCAAATTCATGAATGTGTTCTTTCAATTTTCTGCGACCTTACAAAAAAAAATGAAGATGTTCTTCCCTAAATGACAAATTTTTTTCTCATACTGCACTGGTAATGTCATGATAAAAGTTTCATTACATAAGGTAGAAAGAGAAACGGGTGCAGGTGAACTGTTATGAAAAAGCAGAAAAAACCAGACATTCTGAAAGATAGGAATGGTTTGGAAAGTTAGCCAAAAGTTTATAGTTTATGAAATAGTTGTTGATGAATAATTGATAGTTAATAAATTAATAGGAATATTTGACAAAATTATCGATTTAATTAATTGATAAATTAAAATGACATAAAAGATATTTAATAATAATTATTTTATTTTAAATTATAATAAATTATAAAGGATAACGGTGAGTTTTAGTTAAAATAAAAAGAGTAAAAGTGAAAGAAAAAATAATAATTTATAGACTATAAGTTAAAATGTTATTTGAAATAACGTATGAAAAATAAACTATAATTCTGTTTGATAAAAATAGCAGTTGATTGATAAGCTACTTGATTACTTAGTTGATGGCTAATAGGGTTGATGACTAATAGCTAATAAGTTAATTAAGTGTTTGATAAAAATAACTAATTTAAAATGACATAAAAGATATTTAATACATAATTAACTTATTTTAAATTAAAATAAATTGTAAAGGATAAAAGTGAAATTTTATTAAAATAATAAGAGTATTAGTGGAAGAAAAAATGATAAGGTATAAGTTATAAGCTAAAACGTTATTTAAAATATCGTCTTAAAAATAAATTATAAGTTAGTAAAATAAGATATAAGCTCGTGATGAAAAGACCGTTACTAAACAGATATTGTCATATGAATTTATAAACTATAAGCTATAAGTCATAAGCTCAAAAATGTGTCTTGCTAAACTTGTGATGAAAAGACTGTTACCGAACAAAATTTTTATTGTCATATGAACTAATTATAACCTATAAGCTCAAAAAATGTCTTACCAAACATAGCCTTAAAATGATTGTAAATTTAAATAATTTTAACCCCCTTTAAAATTTTTACACTTAAAATTAATTATATGTCCGTTAAACATGATAAATCGTATATGAATATTTACAAAAATTTTAAAATAAAAATATAAGTTGCATTTTATTAAAAATGAATATATAGTCAATTTTGATTTGATTGTAGCCAAAATAGGCAACTTAAAACTCACTATTTCGTAGCTTGGGGATTTGTTAATCAGACGATCTATGTTAGGTAAGGGGTATGGATCTTTAAGATATTCGACGCTAAGGTAAATGACACACAAGCACCTTTTGTTTGATGACTTCCTTACCAAAACTATGTTAGCCAACAAAGATGGATATTTTATCTTAGTTATAAAGCAGACACTTCTCAACTTCTTCATCAATGATCGATCTCTTCTCCACAACTACCTTACATTTTCTCTAAGACATTGGCTTCACTGTGGAAACAATGGTGAGGAAGTGGCAGACATTCTTGTATTTATTCCTGGCATATCAAAGGGCGCCCAGACGAACGAGTCTATGTTCCTCCTAAATAGGGTGACCAAATCCCCCTAATTAAAATCAGATAAGGAGGTGCCTAGCTTATGATCCAAGGGCCTAATCAAAATACCTTTAGTTTATCTATAGGAGTGAGCCTTTTGTTTTCAATCCCTAACTTGTGACATCTACCTCTTGTACTTTTGGATGAGGGGTACCGTTTGTGGCGATGTGCTCCTTTCTCATTTCCAAGTTGTTACGATAACATTCTTGGGAGACCTTCTGGTTCCCCAAACTAATCCAAATCTCTCATAGTGTAATAAATACTTCAGGCTCAAATGAAGGGTAGACGTGACCGCCTCTAACAAGTTAAGGGTGAGTCGCCTCAGGATGGCGTTGTAAGGGGACAAGGAGTCTGCCATGAGATATTTTACTTTAATTGTTCTTGCACTTGCCTTTAAGCCAAACATCATTTCGAGAGTTATATGACCTTTCACGTGTACGTGTTCTCCTGGAAGACCAACCAGAGAATCTTGGAACGTTTAAATGTCTTTTGGGTCAAGTTCGACCCCTTTAAGGCCTATAGAATAATACATTTGTCGAGCTTTTAGGATCGATTAATACTCGCTTTATATACTAATCATCATATTGCACTGTGATGACTATGAGATCATTGTTGTGAGGGAGAATGTCATTGAAATCTTTAATAGAGAAAATGATTTTGGATTCTCTCTCTCTCTCTCTCTCTCTCTCTCTCTCTCTCTCTCTCTCTCTCTCTCTCTCTCTCTCCCTCCAAGGTTTCTATGATGTCAACTGGTACGACGTTTGTCGTCAAAACCTACTTGGAATATTTTCTCTAGGAGGAACTATACTTTCATCCTTCAGAAAAACCTCTAGCAATAGTGTTCACAATGATCTCAAAAACTTTATTTTTGCATCCTCCGGGGGAAGATGGCGTAAACGAATGATGAGTAATGTGAGTGTGGCCTGTCACACCCTAAATTCGTCCTCCCTTTTTTTTTTATAAATATTTTCGCATTTTTCGATTCTATTTTTAATTTTGAATTGCCCGCTTAATTTCTTGCCATTTAGACATGTGTCCACCCACAATTGGGCGTTTTTCAAATCTATGTTATTTTGCCCAATGAGTGCGTGACACATGGCCTAAGGATGTCATTTTTGTAAATATTAATTCCATTTTTAATTTCACTTTTTTTCTTTTCAAAATACTATTTTTTGTACATATATTATTTGTTAATAGTACTAATAGTTTAATTAGAATTTTTAATAGAATAGATTAGAAATAGAATTAATTAGACTTTTTATTAATTTAGAAAGTAGTTTATAATAGAATTTTTATTAATTAGAATCTAGAATTTTATTAGAACTTTATTAGAATTTAATTAGATTTAAAATTTTAATTAGAATTTCAATTAGTTAAGTTAGATTTAATTAGGAATAGAATTAATTAGGATTTTAATTGGAATAAAAATAGATTTTTTTAATTAGAATTAGAATTTTTATAGGAATTTATTTAGAATTTTTATTAGAAATAGATTTTTTTTAATTAGAATAGAAATAGATTTTTTTAATAGACTAGAATTATAATTTTATTTTTTATCAGAAATTAGAATAGAATTTTAGTTTAGATTAGAATATAATTTTTATTAAAATTTGATTAGAATTAGAATTAATTAGAATTAGTATTTATTTGAAAATAAAATTAAGTTAGATTAGTTTTAGAGTTTAATTGGAATTAGATTTTAGAATTTGATTTAATTAATTAGTTTAGAAACTAGAATTAGATTTTTCTATTAGGATTAGAATTAATTAATAGATAGATTAGATTTTAGGATTAGTTTTTTTTAATTAATCAAAAAAACAAAAACAAAGGACAACATGTACACGTGTTTTCTTGAGTATATATGAGTTACTATTCATCTTCTTCTTACTTGAAGGTAACCCTAGCAGCCACACAAGTCACTATTCATCATCTCCTGTGACTCCAAAGAATCCGGCGCCCCAACACTATTCAACTTCATCTCCCAAACTTAGCCACTCAGTTACTGTTCATCATCAACTCTCTCCTCTCTCCTTCCGTTTTCCGCGATTCACCCTTGCCTCATCTTCTCCCTTTTTCCACCAACATCCACCACGAGTTCCTCTTTGTTCTCCTTCTTCTTCATCATAACGCACACCACCATTGTTCACCTTTCAACAATCCTCTTCTTCTTCCGCACGACCCTTCTTCAACCTTCACCTAGCCTCCACCACAAAACTCCAATAAACCCCCTTCATTCAACCTATTTTTCAGCCCCATTAAAATCTGCTAAAACCTATCTCATTCTTCAACACCCTTTATCAACACAGAACCATCTCCTTGCAAATCATTACCCTTCAAATTTTCGAACAGAAACATAGCAAAACGAAACAGAATTAGAAAAGAGATGAGATGAAATATCGAGCCGAAAACACGAAATGAAAGAAAGAAAAAACAAGTTTTCACGACCCAAGATTCGTGCTTGCTTCGATTCAACCAGTCATGGGTGTTGTATAGATTCTTTGTTATTTATCTGATTTTCATCAAAACTCGTTTTTTTAAGGGTATTATTAGTAGGGGAATTCTGAATTTTAGGGTCTAGGTTTGATTTGATTCTGTTATGTGTTTTGCTATTTTTTTTATATATAATTATTTTCTAAAAATAGTTTTTTTTAAAAGATTTGTCAATATATTTTTTAATATAGTTTTTTTAACACATTTTTCAATTTAGTTTTTTAAGAAGATTGTTAATATAATATATAAATTAGTTTTTTTTTTAATTTTATAAGATTTTTTTACTTAAACTTTTAGAGTTTTATATAATTATTTTCTAAATAGTTTTTTTTTAGAATTATAAATATACTTTTCTAACTAAGTTCTTTTAAGTTTTTGTATACATTTTTTCTAATTTCATTTCTTAGAATTTTCAATATATTTCTCTAAAAGTTAGATCTTGGTGTTTTTATTTATTTTTAAGTTTTCATTTCATTTTTTATTTCCGATTTTTATTCATCTTCATTTATTTTCGTCGCTTTTTGGTCGATGACAAGACCTTTGTAAATCGTTACTAGTCAAACTATTGATAAATAATGTTGGATCCGAGACCACCACTTTTTCTCTCCTCATTTCTTCTTCATTTCGATTTTATTTAAATTCTTTCGATCTATGAAGTCTTCGATTCGTAAATGCCATTTTATCGAAGTCGATAACCTTCTCGATTTCAAATCTATGGAAAATGACCATTTGGGTCATTTTCTTTACTTTGGGATCGTGATAGGCTACCTTCGATTAATCGACATAATGTTTGCGATTAAGACGAGATCCCACTATTTTTGGTCCGTGTGACACGATTTAATCGGAGAATGATCCTCA